GTAGTATAAATGCTATAAATATAAAAATAATTGAATTTATATTATACCAGTTAGAAAACAGGTTTATACACTTTAATTAAAACTTAGAAGCTATAAGTTATAACTTACCTTAATTAGTCTCTCAATCGTATTGAATTAGGTAGACCAATGGGTAGCGTGATCTAAAATTGGAACGAGATGTGGAGTCTGGTCCCTGAAGAAGTCAATCCACTTTGAATTTCTTGCAGTTTTGACATCTCTGGCATGGCTAATGAGATTTTTTATTGTGGATCTTATCAATGCATAATCAATGCATTATCAATGCATCATTTACGGCTAGCTGTTAAGTGTGAACAGCACATCTTTGAAGATTTATAACACTGATGCTACTTGCAACTTTACTTGCCAAGACTGCTGCCGCATTGTTCGCTTTAGAATAACCATCTTTGTCAAACTCATCAGTTTCTACTGAAAATCATTTTCGCCGTCTACGATTTCCTTAATGACGATGATGCCCAAGTTGCGCACCAACTTTGTATTCACCTAAATATATTAAATATGATTTCAATAGTTAACTTAAAGTTTAGTGAATATATGTTACATTATATAAAAGATTTTATCAAAGCTGTTTAATTTTAAATGATTTTATGGAAAATAATAACTTTAATCACATAATTTTAAGTTTTTTTATTCACAAAAAATGTGGCGAATTTCAAAATATATATTAGTCATTGCTGTGTTGTCAACACTGAGGCCTAAAATATTAGTTTTATTGATTCCAAACTTATCTAAACACTTCTCAATAATTTTTTTTGTGTATTCCGCCATTGGTTTTCCTTCGTATTCATGATGCCAAGATCGATCACATCAATTTCATCATTGTTTGAGTAATGGGCATTTATACAGAGATAGTGATGCATATACCTTGATGTAGAATTGACTTTCAAATAAATTACCACTTTCGATAATTTGCTTTTGATTTGTTCGGGATGCTTTTTGACAAGATTGATAATTTGAATTCTGATATTATCTCTATTCATTTTAAATCCAAAATGAAATAAAACTTTTCCACAAAGCTTTTGAATATGTTCCCGATCAAATGCCTATAGATATTGTTTTTAGAATGATAAATGTTTATTTAAAAATGCCAAAAAAAAACATTGTTTAGATTTTTTTTTAATTAAAAGTTAATACTAACGAAAAAATAAATTAAACCTGGAATGAAAAACCTTCAACCAAAACCAACTGGTTTAAGGCTAAAAACTCATATTTTTGCTATAGGCAAATTAATTTGCTGTGGTACAAAACCATTTAATATGGGTTGCTGTGAAATGCTGCCTTTGATGGTTGTATATTTTTGCTTTTTATTCTTTTATTCTATTTTTCTTTTTCTAACGTAATAAGGAGTTCCACATGTTTTCTAGATAAGTGTTGTATGAGGTTGCTAATGCGAGCTTTTGCGGCACATGTAATTTCTTTACCGTATAACTTGTTACTTTTACTTTTTTCGGGTTATTTAAAGCATACTACTTTATACAGGGTTCGTACTGTACCTGGAAAACCTGGAAAATCAGCCAAATTTGGATAAAGTCATGGAAAACCTGGAAAAGTCAGGGAAACTTTTTTTTTATCTAGGTAGTCAGGGAAAAGTCAGGGAATTCTGATTGAGAAACTACTCATTTTACAAATAAGCTATTATGTTTCTGTTGGTGCTTCCCATTTATTTTGACAATTAAAAAATACACTATAGTGTTTCACACCTTTACCACACATATAATATTTTATTTTTAAAAATTTGACCACTTTTTTAAAACTTTAGTATTTTTAAATGTATTTTAATAGGCAAAACGCTCTTATTACTAACAATTGTTTTAAAATATTAATCAATAAAAATATTTTATTTAAATTGTCTATGGTTATTATTTTATTTTTACAATAATAGTGTATGTTTCTTTTTTTTATTTATTATAAAAAAAATAATTCCTTTTTTTTATTTATTATAAAAAGACTAATTTTTTATGATCAGTTTCAATCGTTTAAAACTATTTCTGTAATTTATTCTTTAAACAACAGCATCTTTAACTTTAAACATTTTTGTGTCTTTAAAGCGAAAAACTTCTTTTTTTATTTTAAGTTACATAAGTTACAGAAAGTTTCAAAGATTTTCAACTTTGTTGAAAACTTTTGAAGGTTTTTATTAAAAAAGTAATGGTTTATGTTCGAAATATAATCAGTAGTTAATAATAAAATATAATTATTAAATATAATTAAAAATATAAAATATAATTATTAAAAATAATCGAAATATAATCAGTTTTAAATATGATCAATAGTTATGATCGAAATAATAAACGTCTTGATTTTTACTTCAAAAACATTGATATAAAAAAGTATCCAGAGTTGTCATCTGTCATTAAGTTGGTTTTGACTCTGAGTCATGGACAGACATCAGTTGAACGGGGTTTTAGTGTCATTAAGGATGTGGTTACCGATAATATATCAACAGATGGTATTGTTGGACGGCGTCTTGTGCGTGATTTCATGCTTACCAACAACCTCAACCCCCACTCTGTCCAGATTACATCAGAAATAAAAGTTGCCTTTAAATCTGCTCATCTAAAATACCAGATCATGCTTGAGGAAGAGAAGTCAAAGAATAAAAAGCATGCTATGTTAGATCAGAAAGCCATTATTTTGTCTGAAATTGAAGAGCTAAAATGGGTTTTCTTACAAAAACTTCATTGATGGTAGAAAAAGAGTTTGTCTTAACTGTGGAACAAGCGGAAAAAGAAAACAATTTATCATTGGTCAGCAAAGCGAATGCTTTAAAAAGGAAAAGCGAGGAGAAAATGAAAGGCGTAGCTAAGTTGCAGGAAACATTATTGATATTAGAAGAGAAGAGAAAGAAACTGAATTAACAATAGTTGCTTTTTGACAATTTGTTTGTTTATATAAAATATTATTTATGTTGACATTTATGCAAATATGGCTAATTAAAAAACTTTAATTATATTTTCAATATAAGATTTTGGTTAAAAAATATATGCAATTTAAAATTAATTAAAAGTTTTTTTTTTAATGTTTCTAAGCATGTTTTGTTATACTGTGCTATTTTTATCTAAAGGTATTATTGAATTAACGAAGGTACAGCTACAAATAGTGATAAAAAACAACTAACCTAAAGTAGTCTCTGTTATAGACCAAATATTGCTCAAAAGGTTGAAAGATATCTACATAGACATTTTAGTTTATTTTTGTGTTAGTGAAAAATAATTATATGTGCATAATATTTAGATTTTCTTGAAGATCATCTGAAACTAAATTTTATGTGCATAATATTTAGATTTTTTAAGAAGCTCACCTGTTGTTTATTCTTAGTCATCCTTAATAATATGCATAATAAAATCTATACTAACATCCAACTTAACTAATAGCTAAGTTTTATAAGTTTTGTCATTTTAAGCATGTACATTTTAGCATTTTCATTACAGTAGTAATTTTTAACATTTTATAAAAACCATTGCAAATGTTAAAAATGGTCAGGGAAATTCATCTGATTTTTCAAAAAAGTCAGGGAAAAGTCAGGGAAATTTTTATAAATATGTGGCTACGAACCCTGTTTATATCCAATCGAAATTTTATTTGTACAATAAAAATGTCTGTAGATTGTATCTGATGCATAGTTAGTTGCCAATACTGGTCAAGATTGTTGCACACAAGTAAATAACAAACACAAGTAAATGTTGTTATTGCAAGTTATTGTGAACATGTAAAATATTTTTTTTCTGTTATATATGCTTCGCAGAATTAATTATTTGTAAAACAACCTGCAAAAACATAGTTAGTAAAGCTGTTACAATGAATAGTAATGAATCGATGGCGTTAGTAGTTTTTCCGTAAAAGGAATTGTTGTGCAAAATAATTTTTATTTATTTGTTGAGGTATTTTTAGAAGCTTTTTTGGGCTCTTTCTGACCTCGATGATAGTTTTTTTGCTAATTGTCTAGATCGTTAGCTTGAATTTAAAGCGCAAACTCACAGACAAATTTGATTTTTTATTGCATAATTTGTTAGTGACATTTGATAGATTTTCGTATCTAAACTATATTGCTTTCATTGCAATTTTTCATTAGGCGTTATTAAAATAATTTTTTTTTTCTTAACAGAGTAGGCTGAAAACCAATGTATATAATTATATTATCTCGTGCCATTTTGGGTTGAAATTAAAAGAAATAAAAAGATACTTTAATCTAATAGTATTTACAAGCTTCATTTATATATAAGTATAATTTACAGTTTTAAACAGTGCTTAAACAAAGCGAAAAATATATTGAAAATTTTTTTAAAGAACTTGACTAGGTAAAATATTTGTCTACTGTTCATAACCTAGTTAATCATTTCTGATCAACTTTCTTTCTATGATCAATCTAAAAAATTAGGAGGATGAATCCTTCAAAAGTGGCGAATGTCTTATAAAAAATGTTTAAGTGGAAGTCAAATGTTAACTTCCTTTCTTTTTAGGGTAAAAATTAATTGTTTTAAAACTATAAATAAAGAAACAAAAATTGTTACATATAAAATGAACATAATTTGCGAATAAAAGTTTATAAACTTAAGAAATATAAAACTTAACATTAAATATTATTAAATTTTTAAACTTAAAACAATTTATTTTCTTTAACTAATTTTAACAAAAAAATAATTAAACAAATATTTCTTTAACAAAAAATCTGTTAAATCACAATCGCGGTTAAATGCTTTTATTTACAACATTATATTTTCTGAATAAACATCAAATAAACGATATCAAAATTTAATTAAAATATTCTAAAAGATAAGCGTTTTTTCTTAATCTTAAACTGCTGAATGTGTAGGCATATGACCTTTTCGTACGTAAAATGCGAACTTGGCAACGCCTCTTAACAAGGCGTAACATTCGAACAGATACTCAATCTGAGTATTGGTTCAAATTCGTAAGGAAGAAGATGAGCTTTCCGGTCAAATGCTTATTTACAGTGTTTTGTGGCAAGACTATCAGGTATTTCTTAAGCATATTAATAACTATATTTAAGAAAAAAAGGAGTCCCGGAGTCCTAAAAGTTTTATGGACTCCCAAGACTTGGGGCTAAAATAGGAACTTCATGGACTCTGAATCCGGATTCCACATCCTTGGCCTGGATTCTATTACAGTAAGAAAATTTTCTAAAAGAAATGAAAACTTTTATAGCTCTTTGTCAAATTTTTTATCAAATAATTAATGTTGTAAATAAATAATTGGATAGCTAGTGTGAAAACCCAGAGACAATGCTTGTCTAAAAAATTTTTTCACAGCTTGTTGACACTTGTTATGTATACATTCTTGTGATATTAACGTTACAAACATATTCTTGTAATAAGTATAAAAGCAAGTTTTGTATTTGAATAAACAAATAATTTTGTAATTGAATAATATTTTATAAATGAATAAACAGATAACTCATGCAAAAACCAAAAGCTCTAGTAAGAAGTTGTTTATAGGAGCAGCTCGCATGGCTCACCATATTTCTCCACTCTTGCATGCATTTACTCCTGCCAAGGCCTATAAATGTGTATATATATATATATATATATATATATATATATATATATATATATATATATATATATATATATATATATATATATATATATATATATATATATATGTATATATATATATATATATATATATATATATATATATATATATATATATATATATATATATATATATATATATATATATACACAGTGGCGGACAGGTCCACAACTTTCTGAAAATAAGTCTTAAGAGTTTTGCTTTAACGGCATTATTTCTCAATACTTAGACAAGTAAATAAATTGCTGTTTATTATTAAAATATATTATTTGAGGTTTTAAACATAGCTAGATTTTAATTTAGTAAAAAGTAATAAAAACTCATTAAAAATAGCAATAAAAGAAAATTAATAAATCTAAATTATTTGATTGCAATCATTGGTTAGTAGCCATTGTCTATTGATTCAATATGTTTTTCATATTGAATGACTCTTAGTTTGCGTGACTCTTTCAGTTTACCTGATTTTTTTAAAAGATAAAATAAAGTCATTTATAGAAATTTAAAAATCTGTCTTTTCACTTCATAAGTTCCCAAGTTTTTGCTAATGAAAATTTTGTTTTTGGAAAAGTCAAAAATTTCAAATGTCAATGATTTTGATTTGCAACATTAATTAGCTTTGCTAATTATTTAATGCGACATTAGCTTTGCTAATTATTTACTCAAGCTGCATTTCAAATTTTGGACATTTTTTAATTCTTAGTATAAGGTGTTAAAACTGATCACAGTAAGTATCTGCGGTAGTGGTGTAATGGTAGAGCGCTCGCTTCATAAACGAGTGGTTCCGAGTTCGATCCCCGCCACGTCCCTGGTAGTACCGCGCTCAACTCGCTTCTCCGCGCAGCGACCTTGTTTGTCAAGGTTCGTGTTTCGGAGTTATAGAGTTGAGAGAGGGTTATAGCCACAATATAAGTAGCCTCCTCATTTGTAGTGGCCTTCCCGGCCTTGAGGAGGTGAAGTAAAATTTAAAAAAAAAAAAAAAATCTGAAATTCTTTTAGTAATCATTGGAGTGAGGAATTTCATACAATGCTTTGTAGGACGCTTAAAGGTATTTTTCCTGAATAATGACATTCTAATAAACATTTGCTTTGATTTAATGCCTTTAATAACTCTACAAAATATTCTACAGGTTTTGTTGAATATTTAGCATGTTTGATGTTGAAATGCCTCAGTATTTTTGAAGTTAATGATTTCAGCGGCCAAAGTATCAATGCATGATAAACATAAAGGTAGTTGTATGTTAGGTGTACTGGCAATAAATGCACATTCATATTGTAAATCTGATTTGTTATGTTTTTTCTTTTTCTTAAATACTGGTCCCACTTTGGTTTTATTTTTAATATTTATTTTTTTATTGCTTCTCACCATGGCAAGATCATTTGCATCTACACTTGTAGCATTCTTTTTTAAACCTTTATCCATATTTACGGAATAATATTATCAAATAAATTTTAAAAAGTAATAAAATATTTTAATAATTTTTAATATTTATAATGGCAATTTATAGACATAAAAGTTATTTACATATTTTTAATTACTTATATTCCTAACATGAATCCATAGTAAAAAAAAAAGATTTTAAACAAAAGTTGATCTATCATCAGTTTCCTGTAAACCCCCAAATATTTTTTGCGACCCCCACTTTGAGAATCACTGATATAAACCAACCCATCAAATTTCATCAAAGTATGAGGTGGTCTATGTTGATCATCCAAGATTTTGATAACTAATTTAAGGTGGTCCAGTATTTTTGAAAAATGGGAGATGATAGAACGGAAGATTAATTAAACTAGGTCTCTGACAAAAATGATGTCATATTTATGAGATGTCAATAAAACAAACGTTATCTCCGCAGACAACATGCTGAATGGGCTGATCAAGATTAAATTTGCTTTAAACTCATTTTTAAGTTTTTTCTTTTTAAGTTCAGCTTATTAATGTTAGCTTGTTCAGATATGGTATGATCAGGTTGAATAAAAACCTGTTTTTACTTTGAATTAGCTAAGTTTCTTGTGGAGGAATTAACTTTATCATTAGCCTCTACAGTTTAAGTTTTTTATCAAAGTTCAGCTTTTTTATTGTGAAAAAACTTTTTGAATTTTTTTTTCTATTATTATTAAGCTTAATAATAGTATAAATTTAATTTTTTTCAAAGTGCAAAATATATATAATGCAACACACATATAGTGCAACACACATATATAGTGTGATAAACATATCTAGTGCAATACACATATATAGTGCAACACGCATATATATATATATATATATAGTGCAATTTGCATATCTAGTGCAATACATATATATAGTGCAATACACATATATAGTGCAACACACATATATAGTACAACACACATATAGTGCAACACACATATATAATGCAATAAACATATATAGTGCAATACACATATTTAGTGCAATAAACATAGTGCAACACAGGGGTGTGGAGTCATAAAAAAAAAATAAACACTCCGACCCCAGTTGTTTAAATTTTTTGAGTACAACTCCGACTCCAACTCCGACTACAACTCCAAAAATTTTTGAAAGGTTCTTTGAATTCCTTAAAAAAAAATACGCAAATAAAATAAAAGATTTTTTTTGGACAAATTTATGAAACGTTCTTTGAGGTTTAGTATGAATATAAAGTTAATTGCATGTTTTGTACATGCACGTACAATACCGAAAAGTTTTACTATTGGAGTCAGAGTCGTGTTTTTGTTTAGCAATTCCAACTCCGCTAAAAATGTTACAACTCTGACTCCGACTCCACAGCCCTGGTGCAACACACATATATGTGTGTTGCACCAGGGCAGTACCAGTGTGTGTTGCACCAGTGTTGCCAGTGTGTTTTGCACCAGTGTACCAGTGTGTGTTGCACCAGGGCTGTACCAGTGTGTGTTGCACCAGTGTTGCCAGTGTGTGTTGCACCAGTGTACCAGTGTGTGTTGCACCAGGGCTGTGCCAGTGTGTGTTGCACCAGTGTTGCACAGACATATATATAGTTGTGTTATATGTATGTTGCACCAACACACATATATGTGTGTTGCACCAACATACATATATGTGTGTTGCACATAGTGCAATACACATATATAGTGCAACACACATATATAGTGCAATACATATATATAGTGCAATACACATATATAGTGCAACATACATGTATAGTACAATACACATATATAGTGCAACACACATATAGTGCAATTTGCATGTAGTGCAACACACATAGCAACATACTGATTGCCAAAAAATTTGTTAGGACATTTAATCTTTAACTCATTTAAATTATGTTTTTGTAAATCTGATGTATAATTTGCTTCATGTGTTATGCAAATTATGAGCACTTTTAGTCATGTTTTAAAGTAACTAAAGAACATTTATTTAAATACTTGAAGCTTTGAGGTAGCTGTTTTCAGCTTCATTTAAACTTAGCAATTTGTTTTATGAAAATTATATGTATCTAATATAGAGATTGTAAAAATTTCTAATAAAAAGAAATTCTTGTTTAAAAAAGAACGTGTTTCATGAGAATAAATTCACAAAATCAAAAAGGCAGAATGTTTTACTTGTTCATGTTTGTAGGTCATGTTTGTAAGTTCATCAAGTGGAAGAAAATTAGTCTGCAAAGCATACCCATGTAATAAAAGGGAAAATATAATAATAAATATTAAAAGTGTTAATGTCTTGCTTTTTCAATTTATTTGTATATTGTGATAAAATGCCATGAGCGTGACAGTACTATGATCTTAACAGATAACCTTACATCTGGAAACGGGTATATTTAATTAGTTGGTATATATAGTTACATATTAAGCGTATATTTAATTACATATTTAAGGGGTACATTTTAATTACTTGCATTTGTTATGATTCAGATGATTTTTTATACATATCATGGATATTTAAAAAAATATATATTAATGACAAATGTGCCAATGATAATTTGTTTCAAAATTGATGGCAAGTTAATCAAGTTCTTAATTCATAAGTGTAGCAAAACTATAATTAGGTTTTGTTACCAGAGAAGATTTTAAAAATGGCAATATGCTCTACAGTCTTAAATTTTAATGATGGAAGGAAAGGTATTGGAGAAATTCTAATGTATAAGTTTTGTAACAGGCTGATATAATACAATAAACATGTATGGAACACAATTTTCACCAACCTGTTAAAAAATAAAGGAAAAATTCAACAAACAATTAAAAAAAAAAAGGTAGTTCGATTTTAAAAAGATTACAAAAGGAACAAATGAAAACAAAGATACAAATGGAATGACAAATACAAATGAAAAAAAGGAACAAATGAAAACAAAGAAAACAAAGGATACAATGCTGGAGGGAAGGAGGGGGTTTTAATATGTTTATTATAGTTGTATTATTTGATTTTTTTTTTTTAATATTTTATAAGTTAATTTTCTCAATAATTGTTTTTTACAATTTTTAAAAAAGACAAAACCTCATAGCTTCAGTTAAACAAATGCTTTTGACCTAAAATTTTCACTGTTTGATCATTATAGTAACGAAATCCATATATATTAATGAATTATTTTATATGAATTTGTATATATTGGATATATAATAATGATGATGGCAAATAACAGTTTTATTAGATATATTATCAAATACATTGCATAAAAATAACATTGATTGTCGTTGCAATCTTTACAAAAAATACAGTTATATCATATGGGAGCATTTATTTTGTATGTTCATAGCAAATTTGAGATATATAGTAGTCAAAAATCAGTATGCATAATTTTGGTAACAACTGTCATGAACTTTTTTAGTAGTCACGTCATGAAATTAACAATCTTCTTACACAAAGTTGTAGAAAGTATATAAATTTTTTTTCTATATGATGTATTGTTTTTGCGAATGCCTATTTGTTTTGATGATCCTTAACTTTTAGTATCCCAGTGATCACTTCTGTTAAACCTTTAGGTTTCATGTATCCCAGTAATTTTATTTCCCATAATTCAAACTTTATTTCACCCCCATCAAATAATAATCTTTGGTATAAGACATAATGGAGGTAATACAAATAAAATATATCTTTAAGTATAAATTAGTATAAATTTAGCATGCATAAGCAGCCATATTGATACAGTTACAATATTACACAAACTTCCACATAATAGCCTGCAAGATAATTTATGCTAAAAATGGCTTAGTAGTGATTACTTCCAAGACATGAAATATTTATTAAATTAGTTAACCAATCTTATTGCACAAGGACTAAAAAATTTCAGCATCTGTTTTTTTATGTGATTGTTTTTTTTAATTTTTTTCTCATTTTGACTGGGTGAATATGTGTGAAATTGCTTTATAATTTATAATTCATTAGTAAGGAATAAATATTAAATATTTTTGATAAATACTAATTAATAAATAAAAACTCCGATTATTCTGCAATCACTTGATAAAATACTACTTGGTTCTATAAATTTATTAATTAATTTATTTTTTCTAAAGACATTAATGAAAATGGAAAATTCATTGCTTTTATCATTATTATTACTATTGTTATTATTACTATTATTGTTATTATTATTACCATTCTTATTATTGTTATTAATATTATTATTATTTTAACATTATGAAAAATTATTGTGAAGTCATGTAGAAACAAAACAATTCATAAGAAAAAATTAATTTTATATCTGTATTTACCTCTTCTAAGCCAATATGGCCTAAAGAAGAAGCTGGGTTGGCATTGTCTTTTTTTTTTTCTAGGAGAGGGCAGCGCTTATCTAATTAAATTTTAATTTTGATTGTATTTTCCAATGGAAATAAAAAAGGCATTGACAACCCTGTCAAGAAAGCTTTTTTTTTATTGTTGTTACAACCCTCTATCAACATCTGGTATGCAAACCTTAGCTAAAAAGTGTGCATACAACACTGCGCTACAACACTGCGCTACAACATAACTTTCATTCAACTTTCATATTTAATTAAGGGGAAAACAAATTTTGTAAAGTTATAGTTCTTGATTGTGG